TTTTTTGTTCTGATGATGCCTTACACCTGATCCCTTCGACACCTCGTGCAACCATTCTCATTATCCTTTTCCAAATGAGTCTGCCACCACTGATAGAAATTCCTGTCCCAGCTAAACAAAATTAATAGGAATCACTAATAATTTTGTTTGTTCTCATATTTGCTTTTTCCACATATCGTATATACGCGTGTATAAGCTGACCTTTTCAGCCCATTTTTAATGCAGTTTTGTCATAAAATTAAGTGCCTCGGCTGATATTTGGGCTGTATATACTCAGGTATATACGGTAAGTGAGCTCATACAGCGTCTGTCCTTTGTGATGACTAATTTTGTTTACAGGGATGGTTTCAAGGTCCATCTATGTTGTAAAATGTATCAGGACTTCATTCTTCTTTATGGAAAATATTCCAGTGTACATATAGACCACATTTACTTATCCATTCATCTCCTGATGCTCTTTTGGCTGTTATTTATCTTTTGGCTATCAAGAGTAGGGTTGCAGTAAACACGGGTGTATAATTTAACATTTTTTAATACTTAAAAAGGAGGACTCCAGGAACTGATCACAATGATCTACTTATAACCCCCTCCCAGGGGGACAGACAACAGATAAACCCAGTGATTTTAAGCTGTGTCTTTGAAATAATGGGTATCTATTTTGGGTAACTGGAGCAAGGCCTCCTACCCAAGCTTCCACACTCTCTATTCTGAGAGGGGACGGAGCCATTGGTGCTTAAAGAGCGGTGACTGAGCTGTTCCTTCTCCTGGAACAGTCACCTGAAGGCCCCTGTGGACTTCCGGACCTATTTCAGCTCCTCTACTGCCCGCTGGTCACATGGCTGGAAACAGCAGCTACTGTAGTTTTGTATCATTTGTGGAGCACACATATTCCTAAGGGGTGTTCTGGATGCTCGATGGGCTCTCCTCCCCATCATGCCCAGGAAGGAGCATGAGGCTCAGACCCAGAGTGCCAGCCAGGCCTGTCTCTCAGCACTAGTGTGCTCTGGCGGAGTAATCTTGGCGAGCCACTCATCTGTTTAAGCCTCAGAGTTCTTCTTGGTCAAAAAGGGACAATAAGATCCATGCCACGCATTTATTGCCAGGGTTGAATTGAAAGAACATGTGTAACACAGCAACCACACAGGCACAAAGTAGGCATTCTCTGTTTCTCCTCCCAATAGAGTCTCTTAAAACCTATTTTCTGAGAAGCACTTGAACTTGACAGATAAAAGTACAGATTAAAAACACTCGCTGAGAGGGTGTCTGGGGCAGTTGCAGACCTTTCCAACACTCTGATTAAGAGTATGAACACCTTAAATGCTGTCCTTGAGGAAATTCAAATATCCTAGTCGGAGGCTGAGAGGCTCTTTTAAATGGAAGCCCAGCAATTGAGAGCATTCACAATGTGGAAGAGTTACAGGCATCATCCACGGTGGTGAAGAACCTGCCTCCCTCAGGGCAAAGCTCTCTGAGGGGGACATCGTGGCCCTTAGGCTCTCTCGCTGTGTAACCTTGGCAATTTGGGTAATTTTGCCACACCTCAGTTTCTTCACCTGTATGTTTGGGCTCATCGTCACCCTGTCTGCTGTGTGCTCATGAAAGGAGATGGTGTGTTGGGGCTGCCTGGCGCAGGGCAGCACAGAGCGCACACTCAGGAAGTGGTCGCCACTGCCCTGCGCGAGAACTTGATGGCCTGAAATGATTTGTAGCCTTCTGGTCCGTGTCTCTGAAAATGACCACTTTCCATTTGCTTGTTGTATTGTAAGAAGGGTTCAAGATACCAAGTGCTACTTCCCAAACTATTCAGACAGCTTTCCGATTCTAACTGCAGCTTGATTTAATTGGGATGACATCGCCAGAAGAAACCTTGAAAATGGTTTGATCCCTCCATTTTACAGATGAGGAAACCGGGAGAAAGCTATGACTCACCAAAGCCACATTTCATGACTTGAAACAAGCAAACGCTAACAACGCCTGAGATTGAGCCCAGATTCTCCTGACTCCTCGTCTAGGGTCCTGACGTGGGCTGTGCTGGCCCGTCCCCATTCTATCTTCAACTTCTCATCAACGTGTGACTTTTATTCATAGAGCCCCACAATCATAGTGCACACAGTCCCCTCTGGTGTGAGTCTTTCTCATTGTACCAGGAGGGTTAGACACCAGAGGGCT